CTTTTTCACTAAGACTAAGAGTGCGTCCGGCCATGCGATTCGGCGCTGTATTGTTGTTTTATTCTTTACTGATTCATGATTATGCTTTAATTGTTTTGTGTATTATTTGGAAAATAGCAACGATTTCTACCGCCACCAAGGAGGTTATGTATTCACCGATGTCACTGTCTGGGTGTCTATTCTAGTTAGTTTTTATATCTAGTATCTTTGTTGAGAATTGATAATAAAATACGCGACGACTTGGTAACGAAAGTTTGGCACAAGTTTTTTTAGATCCAGCTGTAGGGGGCGTCCCATTTTTCGTATTCCCACCATGCATTTCGGTGGAACACTTTTTTTGTTTGGAGAACGCTATCTTGTATTTCTAGTATCTTTGATCACGCGTATACTCTTTTTTTGGTCGCATGCAGTGTGTGGTCGGTGTGGTGGGAACCGTGGAAAGAAGTCACGACTTTGCAAAGTTTTCAGCTTTACGTAACACATAATGAATGTCGAGAATAAAGTAGCCCTGATTACAGGTGCAGCTGAGGGGTTGGGGAAAGGTTTTGCGGAAAAACTATTGAAGAAAAATGCAAAAGTAAGTAGGCCAGCGATTCGGATTGCTACTCTAAACAGTACTGCTGTAGCTAGGCCAGGCCTAACCGTAACGTAGGCCCTGTCCTAGTTGTGATTGGGTTTCAGCGAAAAGCGCATCCGTCCGTCCATATTTGTCGCTATCGACACCAAATCGGTTCTGCATTTTATCTTGAGATGTCGGTGCTTGATATATCCTTTCTACTAAGACTCTGTATAGTTTTTTTGTACTCATACATTTTAAATCTTTTTCTTCTTTCAACCCTTTTACTATAAGTATAAAACCCCTCCTTTTATACCCTTTTCGTAAGAATTCTAATTTCATATTTTGTTGTGTTGGTATTGCCGATATTATCTCTTTCCAGTGCATATAATTACTAGTGCATAAACCCTTTCCTAACCATGCATTGAAAGGGACGATTTTACCATTTTCGTACCATTGTTCCTGTTACCATGGAGGTATTAAGAAGGAGATCACTCGAAAAAGCTACGCGCACGCAGAGCTATGCAAATGAACCAAGAACAAAGCTGCCGCAGCGCGTGAAGAACGTTTGCGCGATGCCTTTGAAGTCTAATGTGTTCCCCACCACCAAAATGCTCAGCAGGCTTCCATTACCAAATGATTGACACGGTGAAATGGAGAGGACGTTCTTTTCTCAATGCGCACTACTTACAGTCAATCACTATGGCTGCGCAATCGTTTCCATCTTGAAGCTAATACATTGATCTTTCAAGAAATACCAAACGTAATAATATTTTCTAAAAAAAAGAGTTTCAAATTTAATGAAACATTTACATCAGCTTTAAAAGTATGGTATATTGCAACTTGAATTTCCATAAATTGGATAAAACTCGATAATTCCAATTTTAACAGATTAATTAAGGAATGATGGAGGATTATAATAAACTAAGTCATTTTAGGGTTAATGAGGGTTAACTATTCAAAAATTCAATTCAGAATCAGAGTAATTTTCAGTTTTACGCTGCCTTAGCTTTATAGTCAAACAAATCGATCTTTAGACAAAATTATAATGAACACAGAAGTAATTTTAACAGAAATATTTTGCGGAATCTGTTTCTGAAATATACACATAATAACATACTAAAAGTACGAACAAATCCAATCAGGGGAACATTTTTTATTATAAAGATATTTAATGGGTTAAAATCAAACGCTTCATCGCACAACTGCTGTGCTGGAGCGTATAAGCACATGTCGTTGCCAAGTTGTTGTAATACGCCCGCGCGCGATCCAAAGGCGGGGAACACATTGGTTTGTCGCGTCAAAGGGATCTGTTGCCGAGTGATCTCCTTCTCAATAATACCTTCATACTGTTACTAACCGTACATAAGATATTCGGTTCTGGGTCGATTCGGCCCTTTTTGGGTCAAAATGACCCGGGTCAGAAGTGATCGCGCCCTATTGTTTTGTAAGCATTTTGATTGCAATTAACAGCCGCAGTATGGAGCGCCAAGTACGCACTGTGGTTTATTTGGGTTCTGTATTTTTAAAGAGCATTTTTTTGTGCGTTTTAGTATGATTTATTTTGTACTTTTTACGATCCTTGACTATACATAATACTTCTTCTTTTTTGTATTTTTCAGTATGATTATTATTTAAGTTTTGCAATTGTTATTGCTTCAGAAATTTTAATTAGTTTGAGTATAATTTTACAGTATGTGGTTATTCAAAAACAATGTTCTTTTTTCTTGCAGTTCCCAGTAGTGTACAAGACAGTACAATTATATTATCAATTTCTAAATGATCCTTAATAAAGGCTCTTGTGTTTTGTTGCGGTATTTTAATTGTTAAATCAAATATATCTGAATTTCATATGTTTGTTTTCATGGCTAGTATTTTCATTTATCAACAAAAAAATGAGACATTCTAAAAAAAAACCAAATCTTTTCAGAACTAGGCCTATCTACGTTGTACCGTCAGCATTACTTCAACATGCAAACCTTCAAACAATATGTCATCATTATCATCGTTTTAGAATTTACAAAGACAACAGTACATAATCCTAATCCAATCACAAATATGGATCCATCGGGGGCGGATGTCAAAAGGGTGGGGGGGAGATTGAGCCTACATGTCAGCGCCTGGGTCGTCCTCAGCCCCGTCACCCTTTTAGGAAGTTAAAAAAGGGGAAAAAATTGATCACCCAAAACGCCTCAGAGTTTACATTTTTAAGCGTCTGTCTAGAAAACAAATATTTTGCGGACCTTCCCTTAGGGCGGTGTTATTTCGATCGGCCCCATTTTCGGTTACCCCTGTCGGACATCTCTGGATCCGCTCCTGCCAGCAGGGGCCCTGTCCATATAGGTCTACGGTAAATGAAATATTAAAGCTTAAACAAAGTTGAATAATTTTTTTTTTAATCGGAACCGTAGACGAGAGGTGAACACACGAGTACACATTCACTGCCATGGCATGTGTTTGCACCTAAAAATAGCCAGTCTAATTTTATCATCTCACCTACTTCACTCTTGGCGGTAGTGCGCCCACACATTCCAGAAAAGGATGTCTGCTTCACCCTAAAGAGTACCGGTGGGAACCTGTTTGTGGGCGTTTCTTTCCGCATTTTATAGTTTCCATGCAACATAGGAATTGTGAGTGAAATTTCCGGCTTAATATTAAAAGAAGCCTAAAACAGCCATTAACATTGTAGGTCTATAAATTTTATTTAAACTATATTTTACTATTTCCATTTATTTGTGTACAGTATTTTATAAACATGCCTAATCAAAATATGGATCGACAACGGAAATAAAACAAACAAGAAGATACAAACCATGTGTCTGCTTCACCTCAACATAATTGTTGAAAACGTTTCTTTCCTCAAATTATACTGTAGTTAATAATTTCTTTATAGTTAATTTCTATACAATGAGTGATTTTTTTCAGCCTCGAATACAATAATATATTTGCTTTATTTTCATTATCACATCATTCAGTATATTTTAATTTATTTTATATATGTATTGTTATAAATACAACATTTGGTAATGTAAATGGAGACGCAACAAACAAACAAAAACAAACTTATGACAAACTAATCCGCAAAATTAACTGTAAGCCTACTTGTTTTAAAATTTTATTGAAGCATTTATAAACATGATCCAAATATATATCGTATGAAACCAATAAAAAGAAACATGTCTCCAAACCAATCAACTTGTAACATTTGCGTTGTTTCTGTAAAAAGAAAGATAACACCATTTGATACTGCAATGACTTCTTTAATAATAATAATAATAACAATAATGATAATATTAATAATAATAATAATAATAATAATAGTTGTTTCATGTTTAACAAATGGTATACTGCTTAGCCACCTTGTTCTATTAAATTATTATTCGCGGCCGCACCTTTCGGCACTCCATACACCGTGGCCGAAATGCATGACAAAAATACCCACTCAGGGCCGAAGCGACTCAGGGCCGAAACGACCTGGGCCGAAACGACTCGGGCAGAAACGACCCTAGGCCGAATCGACTCAGGGCCGAAACGACTCTACACCGAAACGACTCTACACCAAAATATTCACCTACACATGACCTCCACCGGAATTAGAAAGGTCAACTGTTGCGTGACAACATAGTGTCTACTGCTCCCTGAGGGGCAGTGGACACCAAAAAAAAAAGATTGGATTTGAATTGGGATGTAGTAGTGTATTATGTGCCTTTTCATCTATCTGCCATATTCATGTATAGGAATATACTGTAGAGATATAATTTTGAACATTATTAGGAAGAATCTGCAAATCTACATCCTGTTATTACATATTACAGCTTTTGCAAATCCAGGGGTGTGTTTTACATGCATGCTGGATAAAGGTCAATTTTCAACAAAATACATAAATGATTATCAACAGCATATTTAAATAATTTGCTTGAATAAATCATTTTATTCAACAACAATGATCCTAAAGCTTCCTGGACCAATAACCTGAGGGCTGTTGGCACGTCCAATAACCAGAGGGTCGCTGGCATCTCCTGGTCTCAGGCACACAAGTAACCAGAGGCCGTGTTCATCTGCTTGTCCCTCATACACCAATAACCAGAGGCCTTTGGTATTCCCTGGTCCCTCATACACCAATAACCAGAGGGCCGTTGGCATCTCCTGGTCCCTGGCACACTCAATAACCAGAAGGCCATTGTATTCCCTGGTTCGTGGCACACAAATAACCAAAGGGACGTTGGCAGCTAGTGGTACATGGTACACTAATAACCAGAGGGTTGTTGGTGTCCCCTGTATCTTGGCATCCAGCCAAAGTGATGTTCCATGACCTTAATTGACTCTACATGCATGAAAATTTCCAGAATTATTTTTTAACTTGGAGAACATTGCTGTTGTATGAAGGATTGTCCGGGGGGGGGGGGAACACAAAAAAAAATACAATTACAATATGTCAGCTTTTAAAGTTGTATACCTGTATGTATGTATGTAGTTTGCATAGGTATGTATGTGTGAATATATTAATATTATGTACTCTAGTTATTGGATAGTGTGTTGTTTTTCTTTAGCACAATTGTGCGGCAACTGTTGTGCATTTTAAAATTTTAAAGGACTATTATATGTATGTTTTTTTATTTTTTTGTAAAATTGTATGACCTTGTTTTCTAAATAAAGAGACTCGAACCACAACTCAATATGAGTGTGGTTATTGAATATGTGTGTGTGTGTGTAAGTATGTAAGTATGTAGTTATTGGATGGTATGTGGGTGTGTATTATGTAGTTGGAATGAACTTCCAAACAAAACAAAAATTAACAAAAGAAATGACATTAGTTTCATTCCAAAATTCTATTACTGTTAATTTATGTTTTGCATTGAATTTTCTTTTGACTTGTTTTTGTGTTCTGTTTTCTTTCTATTTTGATGGTTTGTTTGTAAAGGTAACAAAATAAAACAATAAAAACAATTGATATGCAGTCTAAGAAAGAATAAATACCAGTAAATAGATGAATAAATATGTACAGCTTGCATATACGGTGTGTAGAATATTTGTTAAATACTATGTAAGGGCGATTTTTTGCCCTACCCGACGTGTTATAAACCGAATACTCAATACGTTCCCAAATACTTGCGAAAAAAATTTGGATGGGAATTGAACCCAAGACCTCTAGATAACTAGCCTGGCACCATTCTTCCACAAGTATTTTGGAATGTGCCGAGTATTCGGTGCGATAACACATCAGGTAGGGTAAAACATCACTCTTGTGATATTTTCCTGATGCAAACTCACATCGAAATAGTATAGTTGGATAAGTAATATATATGTATACTGTTATTAAGGTACAATTTGTGTCAACTGTCTTATTTACAAGGCATTTTACTGAATCATATTCTATCATCACTCGGGTGAGTCAAGTGGCCAAGCAGTAAGGCAGCGGCGCTGCTAGCTACAGCCTTAACATCGGCACTGGTTCCAGCCGCTCCTCACCCATGGTTTGGTGGGTAGAACTGAGTCTTCTCAGATAAGGACTTAAAATGGAAATCCAGTGTATACATCTGGCTCGTGTGCACTTCTCAGATAAGGACTTAAAATGGAAATCCAGTGTATACATCTGGCTCGTGTGCACTTTGAAGAACCCATCCCATTGCATCTTTCGGAAAAGTAGGGTGTTACCCTGATGTTATGGTTCATTTCAGCCCCTGTCGTTGTGGAATGATGTGAATATATATCTACCATGAAGCGCCTCTTTACGGCTGCTAGGTAGTCACGGACAAAGCCCATATGCAATTCAGGACAATGACGCTGCAAGTTATGGGTTATTCTCCTACCTTTACTTTCACCTTTATTTTTTTCGTTATATTTATCACAGGGGGTTGCAATTGTTGATGTAAACCGCAGAAAAGGAGAAGAAACGACAAAAGAATTTCAGGAAAAGTATGGAAGAGACAAGGCAGTGTTCATTTACTGTGATGTCACCAACAAGGAAAAACTTGAGGGTACTTATTTTTATTTATTTATTTATTGTTATATTTTTATTTATTTATAATCTCATTTTACTGCAGGAAACCTTCCATATACAGAGTACAATTTAAAATTAATTATACTATAAATATAAAAATATAATATTAAAATACTTTAAACAATCATAATTAAGGATTATTGATTATACATAGATTATTATGATCGTCATCATTATCCTCAATATGGTCATGTGTTCATTATTATAATAAATTATATTCCATAAAAATAGTATAATAAAAATAATAATTTCTGAAAGACAACAAACCACTATCATGCTTCTGCTATACATAAACTTATTATCAATGTTTCTGTTTCAGGTGCTTTTACCTTAACAAAACTGAAATATGACCAAATTGACATTGTTGTTAATAATGCCGGTATCAGCGACGAAAAGCAATGGGAGGTCATGTTGGAACTCAATCTAGTAAGCTTATTTTTTTTTGGTTTAGAAAAAGGCATACTTTTTCTTCTGGTTCACTAAAAACAAACTCAAGATTTTCTAACTTTTTGGTGGTGATGATTTTTACATTGGAAGAGAGTCTGTTCCAACATTTCACTTCCATCTTATACACAGTGGTGGCATCAGAGTGGGGACGAAAGCTCCATTAGTGGGCAAAAAAAAAAAACAATTTCATGTAATTTTTACAGAATATCAGATTCTAAATTAAGTCTCTATATCTCCTTGTAAATTGTTGGAGTTTCCAGGGGCTTCATGGTCTTTTCCAAAGGACGCTGTACCATATTTATTTGCATTTCAGCACTCTGACCAAAAAACAATGTGGAAATTGTTCTGGGGTACCAACCCAAAGGGTGGTGCCAAAGTGGGGTCGGGGGACCAGGGCCCCCTATCGGGGAGAAAAAGCACAATTCGTCAGGGAGAAAAGAAAATTATATTCTACATATTAATAAACTCTAAAATCGATTAAATAAGCCTTTGAAACCCCTAAATTGCCCAAATTTTTGGAGTCTGCGCCCCCTGGACCACTTTCGAAACCTTTTAATGGACCACGGCCACATTGCTTTCGTCGGGAAAATCTGTATCAACCATCCCACGGTTCGGCACACCAGGGACGTAGCCAGGATTTTGAAAGGGGGGGAGCCGAATACGAATTACGTAGGACCCCGGCGGGGTCAAGGGGCGAATCCCTGTGAAGTAGTGCACTCTGAACGTTCTTAGGACTGTTTGAGAGGATAAAGTGAAAATTGCAATAGACGCATTATAAATAAGCGCAAAAATAATTATATAATAAATCAACAGTGGCAGATCCAGGAATTCGAAAGAGAGTTGAACCAAGGAGGGCCATTCACAGACTGAGGAACTACTCACCTCAGCCCCACCATGGTTGGGGCTGAGGTAAGAAAATTTATGATTACACTCTCGCACTTCAATTTGAATATATTTTTCTTTTTTTTCCCTTAAAAAATAAAGTGGGGGGGGCTTTGAATCCACCTCTGCTCAAAACATTCTTTATCCAGAATAGTCATAATCACGAAAAATGGACATGAAAAACCAGATCACATCCTAAAAACAAACAGCAGTCACTAAGACATACATCGGGAGCTGACTCGATGGGGTTTAATGTCATACCCAGGGAAGGGCACAGATCTGTTTTGAAAGGTGGAGGGGGGGCATTTTGTGAGTTGACATCCACCTCAGCCCCATCATGGCTGGGGCTGAGAAAATTTGAGGAAATACTACCTCTCGAGATGGCCGGAAATGACACTTTTATATAGTAAAATTCATCATCATCACATCACAATTATAGTCAAAATGAAACGCCAACAAATTTCTCATGAACTTTTATCAGGGATCTACTTAATATCCAGGACAACTTAGGCCTAACTATAGCTTACTAAGCTTTAACTATATATACTATATTACTAATGATCAACAAATCACAAATTTTTTCGCATTTAGCACAATTTTCTTCATTTTTTATTGCTATTAATATTATTATCCATTATTACTATCGTCATCATCATCATCATCATCATTATTAGTAGTAGTATTATTAAACAAAAATTTAAAGAAACTTGGAAAAGGATAAAAACGAATTTTAACCACAGTATCGCATTTCAATCTTAAAAGACCTGGCCTGAGATTTATGGATTTAAGATTTTTTTAAATCACTCTTAGGCCTATGTGTTCTATTAGGCCTATGTATAACGAGTACAGATGCATATTTACATGTTATAGAAGTATACATTTTTAGTGATCCCAGGAAAGAATTTGTATTGGCTCAAGAATAAGCTTTAAAATTTTAACACTGTGTACAAAGGTGGGGAGCCGCGGCTCCCACGGCTCCCCCCTGGATACGTCCCTGCGGCACACACCATAGCAGTTTAGTGTCAAATGAGTTATTCTACCACATAATTATTCGTCATTGTTGTTTATTAAATGTACTTTACCATTTGTGTTCCTTACCAATTTTTTTTTTATTCAGACTGCAGTAATTCATGGAACTTTTCTTGCAAAGAAATTTATGTCACATGTAAATGGAGGTCATGGAGGGGTCATTGTTAACATAGGATCTATGGCAGGTGAAAATTAAATTAAGCATTAAACCTGTCTTAAGGATTGGGTAGAGATGTTTGCCTCCTTGGAATTTTTTTTTCATTTAATCTGTAATATATTAATTATTACTAAGTAAAAATAAATTAAGGAATGAATAAATGAATGAACAAGTTGAGTAACAAACAAATGAATGAATGAGTGGCAGAATAAATAAATAAGAGAATGGATAAATGAGTGACATAACTGAATGAATAAATTACAGAATGATTAATAACTGATATATGCAACTCAGGAGAGTGGGGGAAGAGAAACGTAAAGCTGGGCACTCGCTACGGTCGATGAATCCATCTTCGCTCCCTGTGAGCGCTAGACGATGCAACGTCACCAGGGGTGGTACCCTTGCTTATCACTACTTTCACTGATCAAGTATATAAGCTCTTTGATTCTACTAACTTTATATTGATTAATATAATAATAATTATCTTTTTAGGTTTAATATATGCTCCCTATGCTCCTGTGTATACTGCAACGAAATATGGAGTGGTTGGTTTTACAAGATCTTTGGGGGTAAATATCTAATTCAATATACAGTATTTGAAAATATGCTAAATCATAGTTTGAACTGCGCATGCCCGAATCAATGTCAGTCGACATAAACACACAAACATGTCAAATGAACTTGTATATGGACAGGCGCAGTTAAAACTACAAATTTACATTGTTTTTAGAGGTGAATAATTTATGTACTAGTGTGTTAAGCCTAGTGTGTATAAATGTCACGCTATGTCATTTCGTTTTTAATTTTTTAGGCTGCTGCTGGGTGTGAGGGGAGAGGATAAAGGAGATGAGTGCCATTTCTCCACCCCCTGGATCTTCCATTAGGAAATACTGTATATTTTTATTAAGGAAGCGTTCTGCAAAGTTTTTACTTCACAGCCTACGCACCAACATGACGAGAAGTTCTGATCATGAAAATTGCCTCTTATGATATACAATAATTTGACATCATTATCTGTTCTACTAGTTAAAACTGCATATTCACTATCAATGAGGCAGTTTTACAAAACAAATCTTTAATTCTTTATCTCCTAGACCGTGACGAGAAAATTCTTTTACCATTATGTGCATTACAATACAGAATACTACATTTTTCTTTAGATTTACGACGACGAAATGATTCAGAACAACATAAGGGTGAACTGCTTGTGTCCAGCATTCACCGACACAGCGATTATTGAGAAATCTACGATGAATGCATCTGATGAAAAGGCTGCGGAATTGCGAAAACATTTTGAATTATTGCCGTGAGTTATTCAAAGGTGTTTTTTTTTTCCTTCTGCATTATTTGTGAATTCATTTTGAGTTGGTATAGGTTGTGTTGATGGTGGTTGTGGTGATGATTGTCTCACCAATAACATCATCACCATCACCTCCTACCAACTCTCCTAGTAATTCACTAATGGAAACTAACCAATATCCCTCCAATTCATGATATCTGCTTGTGTTTTCTATTTTTTCAATTGTTTCCCTCAAGTCAGTTATGATGGTTATTACCACACAGAGCAATTAAAAGATATATGAAAAAAGCTCATTAAAGTAAACCTGCCAGAAATACCTTCTTTCCCTATAGTAATGATGAGGAATGGAGGATGATGATGATGGATGATAACATACATTTAGTATACATTAATATAGTGCTAATGTTCCACTCTGTAAGGTATTTATTTGAGCGGAGGATATCTTGAAATCCAATTAAAATTTTGCATGGATGATGATGATGGATGATAACATACATGTAGTATACATTAATATAGTGCTAATGTTCCACTCTGTAAGGTATTTATTTGAGCGGAGGATATCTTGAAATCCAACTAAAATTTTGCATGGATGATGATGATGGATGATAACATACATGTAGTATACATTAATATAGTGCTAATGTTCCACTCTGTAAGGTATTTATTTGAGTAGAGGATATCTTGAAATCCAACTAAAATTTTGCATGGAAAATCATTTAAAAATGGGTGCGCAGAAATGCAACTCCTGGTGCTTATAATACATTGGTTGTGTATTAGGATATGTGTGTGTTCTACAAAAATTGTGCAGGAAAATGTGCGGGCGGAATTCAATAGCTTAATAGTCTAGGCTGGCCCTCTTTCAATAAATTAACATCATTCCAGTCTATGCCTATGAATACATGTGTTTTTGTTTCTTCAAGTCATTAAACCTCACTGTGCGGCGAGTTACGCTGCACATTGCTGAATTTTTATGGAAAAATTTACCAGTAAAAATTTTTCAATTGGAAGAACACTGATGTTAATTATGTTTAGTAAAATCTACTTTATATTTCAGTGTTTCGCTTGTGGCGGAGGCTTTCATGAGGTTGGTGGAAGAGGACATACATGGACAAATTATGCGAGTGACCTTGGAAAAGGGAATTGACATACAGTATTACAAGCCAATACCAAAGCTTTAGTGTATGATGGTGCAGATGTTCTGTATAACATTTAGACTTACACAGCTACACAATCTATCCCATCTTGATTTATGTTGATGATTAATTCAATAATTGTGATCAATTTTAGCAAAACCCTAGATTTGTCGTCATTTCTAAATTTGCGCTAGCACCCAATCAAGAATCAGCATCTTGACCAATTTCAAGTTTTCACAGTTTGCAAAAGAAGAGGTATTGAAAAACATTTCTGCCAGATATATATCACTAAATCTATCTGAAAGTATACTTTTTAAAAAGTATATGACACTCAAAACCTAATATTAAACTAATGATTTCGAAAGCTGCTCAAAACCTACATAGCTGATATCCAATAAATGAATTAAACAATGTTTCTTAATTTTCCTTTTTTAGATAAGTAACTGTATATAATTAAATAATCAAATGCTCATATATATATATTATATTTTTGAATTGAATAATACCTTTTAAATGTCTTAAATAATGTGGTATTGTAAAATAATAATAAAATTAAATATAATACTAATTGATGATGTTATTTACATATCTAAATCTTTGTCCTACCTTATTAATTATTTAGAATTCTCATTCCAAGCTAATTGTTTAAATTTTTCAGTATAAATTTTTCAGTATGGTATTTGTTTGCATTGTTGCTTATTTTAGGCCATGGCCTTCTTTTTGTTATATGTCATTGTTGCGTTTATTATTATTGTAACGGGACCTCTTCAGAAACAAGCAGAAATGCTTAAAGGGTTATCCTGAAATTCTCTTATTGTTTAATTCATTTAATTTTGTACTCTGTTTAGTTGTGAGAATTTCAAAATAAGTCAAATCAAATCAAATCAAATATTCATAACTTTGTTAATACTCAACTATTTGTTTTTCAAATAAACACTGTTTCAAAGAGTAGTAGAAATTAAAATATCAACAAAATTATCAACAACTAAATTTTGGGGTTTTTTGGGGTTATTTTCGGGGTGGTTGCCAGAGCTGATCACAATTTAAAAAAAACATGAATAACATTTATTACAGTCTGAATCAATGACATTGGTAAATTACTATGATCAAAATTTAAAACAAACATAACATTTATTATAACCTGAATCAATGACATTGGTAAATTACTATGCAAGCTTAATGTATTTGGAAAAGGAGGTACTACAATTACACATGTACTAGTACTACCAATATAAAATAATGACTGATGCTGTCAAATCAGTGGTCAATGCTATCAACCAATGGTCAATGCTAACAACCCATGGTCAATGCTATCAACCAATGGTCTCCTGAGAACTAACTTGTGGGTTTTAAAGAAAATATTTGGTGCTTTCGAAGAGTACTGACTGTACCAGTATGAAAATTCTATCAAAAAATATGCTGCAATTTGATTTTCCTAATATAAACTGTAAAATAAATATGTACATAAAATGTGGCTTTGTGGCCTTGGATGGGGTAGTGGTTAATAGAACACCTCAACCAACCACATCAGAAATAGTCCCTTAATTTCCCCCACCACTTAGCAAAAATATCTTGGATCCACCACTGCTAACAATTGTCAGTGTATCGATTTGTCATTATAATCCTTAAATTAGGCATCAGTTTCTTTCTTTTTTTTTTTCATGGATTGATGTTTGTTTATATCTCAGTGGTGTATTTACATATAATACCATTTAAGAGATATATTATCGATTTCAAGTAGATCATAGTATGTCCAAGGTGCTTGAAGCAATTAGTGCGTACAAAGTACATCAAGAAATTCCAATTAAAAATATATTAATATTCAGAACCGGCATCTGTTATTCTGCACGTAATTGTACGTAGGCACGCTTCACTACATTAAAGAAACGATAACGAATACGTTTCTACATTTTTGTTAATCAACCTTTTCCAAAAATTCACTTTGTCCTTCTGACCAAATTTGTATGCCTACTCAAAATACATCAATACGTCAATGAAAAAAATACAATCACTAAAACTATATTAATATTCACCACCAGCATTTGTTATTCTGTACCTATTGTATGTAGGAATACTTCACTACATTACAGAAACGGTAATGAGTGCGTCTCTCTGTTTTCGTGAATAATCCTTAGCTGATGAATAAAATGTTTTTCAAGGCATGGTGGAAACATCAAATTTCGCAACAAAATCCGAGTTGCGTGGTCATTCAAAAATTCACTTTGGCCGCCTGACCAATTTTTATGCCCACCTCTGCTTTACACCTAAACGTATCTTGAATCAGCTATTTACATACCTATCACTAATTCATTTATTATTTGTCAAGGAAAATGTTTTTGATTTTAATATCAGATTTTTTCAAATGAACTTTAATTAAATAAAATACAGCGTATTCATTTTAATTGAATGCATCAAACAGTTGGTTAATGTTGGTCATAAAATGTTATATCCTGAGTATTTTAAGAATTTAGAAGAGTTGAAGCATTGAAGCTTAGTTCGAGGACTGAAGTCCGTGTTTACGAATACAGGCATTAGTCTACTTAGGCCCTGTCCAGACTATCAAATTCTATTTGGCAAAACATGTGACATGCCTAAATATGGTGATGATGACATCACATCAAGGCCATATATGGGCATACAACAGATTTTTGATAATCTGAAGTGGGCTTTATTTACAAGTCATACTGAAACGAAGCAGCGGATGATTTAAATCATGATTAGTAAAATTTAGCTCATCCGTGGCAGTCTTCAACAGGCCGATGTGTGATATTTCGTTATATTTTCTAGGCCACTGTGTAGTTCTTCTTGTCGTCTTACTACCGCACATGTAAGGGCGTTACTGTGCAAAAGATAAGAATTTATTTAATTGTAACTTTTGAATAAGATAGAAATAAAGGAATACATTTATATATACCATATTCTATAAGTTGTAAATGTTGTGTATTTTCAGTTACAGTATCAAAATGGTTACACATACATACCTGCCAATCGTAGAATTGAAAAAAAAAATTACATTGTAAGAAGTATCCACTACTGTCCGTAGTTCCCCGGGTATAATCCCACCCCATGAACGCGAGATTGGCTCGATTTTGGGGGGTGGAATTATATGTATATTTAAAATATGGACAAAAAATATAAAACAAGAAAACACATGATAGCTAACAGTAACAATACAAAATTATTGATTGTTGCAAGATGCTCAACTCTGCAACATCCTATGGGCAAACAATTCACTTGACGTGAGGTATATAAATATAACCTTATTATTAGACTTCACGTGAAGAGATAATTATACATTTTTAGGCTACTTTCACGCAGGTTCAATGTCAACTGGCCCACGTTTACGCGGCTTTGTTTTCTGATGTAAATATGTTGGGCATAAATATGTTTGTGGAAATTTTATTTGTAACGATCCTTTAAAACGTAATTAAGGCTTTTTTACATGCCGAGCCAAACTTTTGTTTATTGTATATTACAGTACTAGACTATTTGCGAAACCTGGTTTTTGTCAAGTATATAATACTGTATTATACAAAATTAATAAAGCTGCATAGGCAGAGTGACAAAATAAAATTACAAATAAAACTGTTGTAATCTGCCTTCGTAGAAATTTTTATATATAAATACTGTATATATACTGTCTCTTATACACATCTAGATGTGTATAAGAGACAGAANNCAACAACAGGATTTACAAGGATGGGCTTTGTATTCAAATTTACGGCGACCAATGTCTGTTCTAAGCAGTTGGAAGAGTTTCAAGTCAGGCAGAATTCGGAGACAATTCCTTTATTTTTTGTGAGCATTTGTTAAATTTACCGGCCTAGGCATACTCACCCAATTTATACCCTGGGACTTTACCCGGGAAAATTCTTGTACGCGAAGTTGGGCGTAAAGTCGGGGGTGGGATTATACCCGAGGTGGGACTATACCCGGGGAACTAAGGTAATATTTCATAACATTAGTGACAGAGCGTTTCCTCTATTGTTGAAAAAACAAGCACAAGCATCGAGCTAGCATGACAACAAAAACTTCAAATGTTGAACAAAGATATTTTAATATTTTAAGTGTCATTCATCTAAATAATGACGTTATGAGATCAGCGAAACAAGCAACATACCGCGCCCTTCAAGGTGAATCTATAGGCCTACTGATTAAAAATGTAACTTAAATATTTGTGTTGGTTGTGAGGTAAATAAACAGTACATTTGGAATTAAGTAACTCTTGTTTTTTAGTTAAAGCAACTGTAAAGGAATTAGGATATATAATTACCATCTTACAATTGTTTGGGGTGGGGTAGGGGGTGTTGCACCAATGAATAGCGTCCCTCTTTTTGATATTCGAATGTTGGCAGGTATGCACATATATTCTTACATACTGCTGGTGTTTATATGCGATTATTAGTCTTTTTACGCCCTCTCCAGACTATCAAATTTTATTTTGACAAAAATATATGACATGCCTAAACATTGTCATGATGACATCACATCATAACCATATATGGGCATACAACAGTCGGTAGCTTGTTTGTTCTTTCAACTCAACAACTCTTAATACTTTTTAGGGTTTTGGGTGGCAGTGTAACTGGTAGAGTTTATTAAACTAGCGACCATGAAAATGAAATTGATTACCGTACCTTGTGTTCTTCTTGTACTACTGCTTTTTGATTGACTCTACGAATAAACATTAAAGAAACATTTCCATGAAATATAATACTGTTTGTCATCATGTAAACAGAATGTTTTGAGAATGTATCAGTGTGAAAGTAAAATACAACGGATTATAACAGTACCAGGGGTCCCAAGTCCCCCGGAACTCCTGGGGGGTCTCCCGCACTCCCGCAAATTCAGTAAAAACAAATCTTTTTGTTTTATTTAGGCCTTAACTTTGGTTGCCGATTATTTTTTGCAGTCTGACAGTGCAATTTGCCTATTCTAAACAAATGTCATCCCCTCAGCCTCTATCACGGTGGGCCTGGCCCTTCGTCTGGTACCTACACTTTTTTCTCATACAATATATAACGCCCTTAATGCAAGGACTTTTAACTGGTAACAGTTAAAAGTCCTTGCTTAATGTCATTAAACGAATCTCATGGAAATTGTTTCTACCAACTTGGGACCCCTGACATAGTACTGAACGTAAATTTGAAACACTTCATTTGACCATTGGTAGGTCTATATAAATAACATTCTTACAAAATGATGTAATTGATTATATTAGATAGGCCTATTCATCCTAGGTCTTTTGAAAACATTAACATCCTTGTCAATTACTATTATGCAGCGTGGGACTACATGTATATTCGCTTGGAATATCATTGAGAAATACAGTAACCTTAGGCTTACGCTCGACATTTAAGCCTTTTCTCCACTAGGCAAATTTATTCGGGCGAATCGAAGGCGTCGGTTCGGTTCATCCTGAGCTCTGATTGGTTGCGCACTTTTTTCGCTTTGCAGAATGTAGAAACAGTTCGAACTATCGATTTCGCTGTTAAGCATTCACATTGCTAGCGAAAAAAATGCAAAACCAATCAGAACCCAGGAAGCGAACCGACGCTTTGATTCGCGCGAATAAATTTGCCTAGTGGAAAACCAGCTTAAAGTCTGCTTTTCCACTAGGTGAATCGAAAATTTTTGCCAATACGCATGTGCAGTTTAATTTTCATCACGAGATGCAATGGATAACAATTTTCGATTCGCGCGAATAAATTCGGCTAGTGGAGAAAGCGGTCTTTAAAAAGAATCCCAATGTGAAATTATATGCTTTTTTGTTGAAAGTTGAAACTCACTTCTGCGGTACCGTCGTGAACCTTGATCCCCAATTGGCTGCTAATAAGGTTTCTAATTTCAACGTTAAAACAGCAATGAAACAAGAAGATGAAGAATCCCTGTAAAGACGGACATTGAAAACTTAATTATTCTTTGAATTCAATAAATTAAGTGAAATTTACGATGAATTACAGTCGAAAGGAATCAATCAGAACAGATCGGTTCATAATTGTTTTCAGTATTTCATCTGAATGAATCGATGAAGATATCTATATTGCCAATGAGAACTGTAAGCTGAATTAATTTTTAAAAAAATAGAGGACTTGAACTTCCCATCTTAACAGTATTTAATATAGAACGTATAGTCCTTCTTACCTGTAATGAATTGAATATGACAAACATATATTGAAAGAACAACGTTTGCCTGTTGAAGGCCATTAAACCAAATATCCAAGTCACTCCAAATATGGGCAACAAAATCACCATTGCACGTAACGTGCGGCTGTAAAAAAGATAGAGAAAATAATTTTCCTGTTCTCTAAATTGTATATAAATCATGTTTACCAAATGCGCTTATGGCCTCAACATATTTTTGAATCTACGATAGGCTTATAGAATAATATAGGTCTATGTAAAACCTCGAATCTTGAGTGTCGCCTACTTTCCTATTCACTCCAGTCTTGAAAAATAAGCTGGATGGGCATCGATTATTGTAACACGTCATGAGTTAACATACAAATGAATTTGGAGGTTTGCTTCGTTTGTCCTTCCAATGAAAAACCTACTCATCTAGTTCGACAAATTTAATGTTAAAGATGACTCATACTTCGGCGATGAGGAGGACGGCGAATACGGCAGCGACAACGACGATTACGATAATGCATAAATGATGATGATTATGATTATGCCTATGAAGATGGTAGCTAAGTGTGGAGGTTTGTTTCCAGCACAAATATCCACATGCAATTATCAAGAAAATACAGGTTTTTTTAAATGTAATGTGTATTTACCGTATTTGCTCTCTCTTGGGCTTTGATTTGATGGTCTTGACGCCGCTAAATATCTTCAGAACCATACCAATTATGATTACATTCAGCTGAAAAAATTAAGTTATAAACTACCGGTATAAACTCCTATCTCAATTGACTAGAAATGCATTTAGATAGCAAGTTAGCGCAGTGGTAGCCTATATCATGCTAATGCTGTACAGTAACTGTAATTGATTGCATCTCTTTGCATATTCACCTCGTTCTTTGGATGGGAAGTTAAGTCGTTGGTCTCGTGCGTGTGCACATTAGCACAATTAAGTGAACTCGATACTGTAAAAAAAGTATGGGATTATTTCCCGAATTGTTGATCATAGTAGGCCTAAACGCTGCACTGCGCCCGTCACAAATGTATAAAATTTATGTATATGTAATTATGGATATGCTGAAAGTGAGTAATCATAATAATATGTTTGGGACCATTCAATATGTGTAAGTCCGACCCTGTAACTTTTTATCTTGGCAGTTTCATTTATAATGGTAATGGTTTTGTATTTATATTTTTATATATATTTATGTGTATTTTTATTTATAAAACGAATAATATCGGCATAAAAACGCACGTACCGATATAACAACTATAACTGGGCCTATGAATGCCCAAACTGTCCCGCTGCTGATGTCCAACCAACATGCAGTGTCTGTACCGTATCCATCGATTCTTACTGCCATTGTTATGATCACTATAACAGCAGGAATTCCTTAAAATTATAAAAAGAACACGTTAGAGTGTACATCTATTTTGACAATGTTTTTTTTATTATATATTTGCCCGTATTTTTAATAAATTTTACTGTTTTATAGCTTTTTAACTTTTATATATCTATGTATTTTGAATGTAAATTTGGAGCAATTCAGTTTATTCTGCAATGCCATTTTATTTTGAATAAACCAGATTTGAATTAAAAAAAAACCAATGTCGATGACATCTGAATATCATGTAGGAACATTTTGGGAATAACAAAAGGAACGTAAAAAATACTTTTTTTATTTTTTGCAGCATCATCGATTGATTAATCGATCAATCATTCAATCAACTGAAATCATCAATCAACCAATCAATCAATCAATTTATAAGGCGCATATTGAAATAATCCTTATAGTCCAGTCAATCTATGGTTTGACTACAGACAAAATTGCAACATAGACTTTTTGTTCTGTTACTATCTCTAAACCCCATCCCAAACAACATATCAAAAAGTAGAAAAAAGGATGCATGGGAAATATGCTAATTTGCATAAAACAAAAATGGCTGCCAATTTGTCATGTATTTGGCAGTTATTGGTAACTATTGATCATAGAGATATAATTTTGGTGTCAATTTACTCAGAATATGTACTCTAATGAAACCTTTTAGCATAAAAATGACTGCAACTATGAAATATGTTAATTTGCATAAAACAAAAATGGCAGCCAATTTGTCATGTATTCGATTGACTCATCATCACCGTCATCATCATGTTCATCATTATGGCAGCATAATCATCAGTCAACAACAACAACATCTGTAGCATCATCAACAACATCACCATAACCATCATCACTGTAATTTAGTCAGGTTAGGCCTATTATTGGAATATTACCATCATCATTGACATATGTTAAGTACATGCCACCTCTAGATTCCCGGAAATGGGCACTCTCATTAAAATGCTTTTCAAAGTGTCTAACTATGATATTTAGTGTTTATTCGTTGAAATAATAATACTGAACATTTAAATTATAAGTAGCTGTCCGTTTTTGTACCGCGGTACGGGGGTTGACAACCACATAATGTCTCTCCCCCATCACATAATAGTAGACCTACAAAGACACTTACCCCATCCTATTGGATAGTACATGTAAAATTTCCTCCTTGAGCTCTGGTTCAAACTGCGCACTTTATTGTACATATGTAGTGCTTCCACTGCCATCCACATGAAGACCACAAGGTAAAAATAGTGCAAGAAGATAGCAATACTGGTGCAGAGACCCTGTGTTTGTTCATAGAGATGTACCCGCGTTAAACGTATTTTTCAGCATTATGAGTTACGGAAATTAAATCAGTATATATTTACGGGTGGGCGTGGGGGTGCATGTCCCTCCAAAATAGATTGCGTATCCAAGGCGCTACCCCACTGGAAATTTGCAAAAAAAAAAAAACATAACGCTCAAGTAGTTAAAAATCACCACATTATCACCTTAATCAGCGCCCCACACTTAATCAAAATCCTCAACCAAAAACAAAATAATAATCTAGCCCCTTCACTTAATCTTTGCGCCGCCACCCTTTCAGTCCCTTCCCCAACCATTTCACCGCTACAGATACGCCACTGTGAAAAGAACAGTACTTGAAAACTTGCAATAACGAATCGAATCTGGATTAACTTGGAAGAATACTCGCCATTAACAGCTGTATGACCCAAATTCCAAATGAAAGCTATTCATTTAAATTTAAGTTCATTAGACCTGGAAATGCAGACACATCAACGAAGTCAATAATATATAAAATAATATTAATATACCAATAATGATGATGATGGTGATAGTGATGATCAACGATTACGATTATCGTTTATTACGACCAGTTAATCAGCATCGCCAGCATCTGTCAGCGATAGCTAGTAGCAATTTTATGGAAACTAGTGTTACTAGGTTCATGGTCTGTTAGCAAAGGACCTTACCTTCTTACTGGTTTTATTAATTCCAAAAAGGAATAGGGCGTCGGCAATTATCAAAGCTATGACTAGGTTGATATGTATGGACGTGCACTCGTAGTTGAGTCTTCTGTAAAAACGAAAACATATTCGACAATTCGGTTGACTTTCTGTTTTACAATTTACAAAACAACGATGTTTCTCTTTTACCTTACAATAATTTGAAATAATTAACACAGTATAATTATACATAACGGACAATTTAATTTAAGCTATTATTCAATGTTGTTGTTAAGGTTGTTATTAGTAGGATATTACTTTTAAAACTATATAATTTGAAGTGAACTAACAGCAACATTGCCATTATCATAGAGGAGAACTATATAATTAATATATATTAGATCAGTGCAGTTAAAAAATGACAAATCGAAACAAAGCGACGACAGGCCTACATGTTACACGTACAATATAGTGTAACGCACGCACGCATTTAGAATACAGTAATCAACCACGAACACCACAATTACCAAGTGTTTCCATTCGTTCACATATTGTATGGTACATAACGCGTGCTCGTCTGATCCCTGAACAAACATGTTATACAAACAAACATGATAATAAACATCAAAATTATTAATAATGGGAATAATTCTCCGTATTCGTTCTGTAGCTACTCTTCAAATGACAAAAAGTGTCCCAACGCTCTAGCTGTTTGAAAAAATGTTTTCATTTTCAGAATAGCAATTTATTCAGATACACGATTGCAGTAGGCACTTACTTTCAAGTAAAAAATAAAAATTATGACATTATATCTCATTACCATCGCCGTATTGTTGTTATCGTTACCTTAAAGCCAGGCTCCGGAGCCTGGCTATATGTTGTAAAATGTTCTTTAGTTCATAATGAATATGTTATTAGGCATATATATTTTTTAATATCTATTGACGCCGTTCATTTAAATTCTGTATAATGTTTCTGTAGTCCATATGAATATAACAATGCCTAACAGTTTTAATAGATAGCTTGAGGGTTTGTATACCGAAATAAATACATAAAACCTGTATTCAGAAATAAACCACATAAGCCTAATATAAGCCATTGAATATAGTGATTCATTAAATTGACTACTAATCTAAATTAGAGATTCTATTCCAGTAATGACCAGTCCACAAAAATTATCTATTATAGCTTGATGATTTGTATACCAAAATTAATAAATAAAACCTGTATTCGGAAATAAATCACCTAATATAGGCCTATTGTATATAGTAATTCATTAAATTGACTACTAATCTAAATTAGAATTTCGATTCGTGTAATATCTCAGACATATAGGCCTAGATAGGATCTGCGGAGACTATAAATTCTATGAACTTAAATCGTGATATTAAAATAACTGCCAAAGGGTTTGTGAACGTATACTTCGCCGACTGATAGTCTTATGCTATTGTGTTAATAAATTAATCAATGATAATTATGATATAATAATAACAAATATAAATAAAGATACTCATTTTATATATAGGCCTACATGGGTTTGCACGGTTGTGCAATTTTCTCAATTATATTGTTGTTGCAAGTTACGGTATTATTATTTAATGATAGTGAACTCACTCACTTTTTAATACCTAATATGCAAAACTGCACCAAAGGGCTAGCTAGCGTTATTTTTTCCCATTTTGTTGTTGGCGGTGGCGCCAGGAATTCTCTCTAGAAGGGGGATTTTCGTCCCGATTTTCAGCATAAGGCCTAAGTGGGCATGGTGTTTATAACACTGGTAATACAGTGTGACAGGCCCAGGAAATTTAAAATAGAAGGTCTGGGGGGGGGGGGTTCACCCACCCCACTAGCACCCCCACTTCAAGACTTCTAGATACGCCACTGTTCTAATGAATATTGAACCTAAAACCTAATTAAAAACGGAGTTACTAATAGCTACGTCCTGCCAGTACAATACAAATTAATACAATGTGAAGACTGCATGGATAATTTTAAGAAAACAGCTTGAATAGCGCGAATTTAGGCTTGGTTATAATTATTCATCAGCATAAAGCAATCCACATGAAATATTGATACTCATTATACGAATTCTGATAACCTTTAAATTATTAACCATATAAAAGAATATAGGCCGGGTAATTTCATTCAATTTATAGTTGCTTTGACACAATGTATTCTTTAATTATGCATGTTGGTGCATCTTCCACACCATCATATACAAGCCTCCATGCATAGTATTAAGATAGTAGAAGATAATTATGAACTGTTTGGTCATATTCAAAGATGGCATGCTCAATCTGGCAAGTCGATTGCGATTTAAGACACATTTTGCTCCATAAGAGATTTTAATTACACTAGAATCCCTATTAAAAGGGACGCCTTTTTGGAACCAGTGTCCCAAGTGTCCTCTTAAGTGTGTCCCTTGAATATTGATTGGTCGATGTGTTAAAAGATATTTCATTTACTTTGCGGCCAAAAAGTGTCCTCTTAAGAGGAATGTGGGGTGTCCAAAGAAGGGGTTCTACTAATTTGAGTGAATCCAGTGTCTTTGTCAATGTATGATATTTCATAACATTAGTTTTGTTTTGAATACAATTTATTTAAAATTATCTAACATTATTTAATAAAGTTATGAATTCGTTTATGGAGGGTCATCATTTGACAAGCTTTATTGAGTTTCTACTGCGATTGCATTTCATCAACACTATATTAAATGTTCGTTTCATTTTAATATGCTGATAAACTGTGACAAATATAGCGACTGCTCAATAGAGAGTTTTTGCAAGCTTACGAATATGGTTACCGGTACGTCATCAAATTTTTAGACAACCATTCCCCAGTAGCATACCGGTATCTGTCAAAACGTAGGCGATCATGCCTTTTGCATGAACCCAAGATCATATTCAGTTCGTTAGCATATATTAAGATTTTTTAGGCACGAATGACGACATATGTTGACATATTCGTATTCGTCATCATTTTCGTAGGTTGCAAAATCTCCCTATTGCCTCCTGTTTCCTGTTTTTTTGTTTTTATTGCTTTCTCCTGTACAAATGCGTTTTTTTTTTCTTTCTATCAACGAAATCAAAAAACTTACTTGAAGTATACCACCATGATGATGAGAGTGATGATTAACGTAACCAACGTCAACGTGAGTCCAACATACGTTATTAAACTCAAAGCAGTCGAATTTGAATCATCAAGCTGCAAGTTAAGCGATACGTACTCTAATATAAACCTAGGCCTATTATTTCAAGTCGTTTATTATTTTTGTTATTTTATTTACTTTTTACTTCAGTAATATCAAATAAAATGCAAACAAAAACAATTCAATAGTAAAAGACAGCATTATATATAAAACAGTACGAAAAGATTGCCTTCGTATGCTTAATATGGTGGTTAATAATATGGTTATATAATGAGGTGAATATTATTCCATTTATCATTGAAGTGGGTATTATGATATTATTATTATAATTGTTCAAAAATAGATTTATTATGTAATAGGGCCCATGAATTAAAAAACACGATTATGACGACCTCATTTGTTTATAAATAATAATTTCACATTCAATCAATGGACCTTTTTTCGAGTGTCAATCAAACCAATCATAACATTTTATTTAATACACAGAGATACGCGCATGTCCTGCAAAGTTTGCGTACTTTTATGATGTTTAAGTTCCTGCAACTTAACAATATCCAACGGGCGGAGCTTAGCGTAAAGATCCATTTGTACGCCATTATTAAGTAATCACTCTGCATTAATACATATTATATTCATACTTTAATTAAAAAAAAATCAATCATATTTTAATTCTTTTAAAAATATATTTTTGTGTGTTTTAAACTTTGATTTGCACTCTGCCATGATATCACCATTCGTGCGATGGATTTTAGCGCTATAAGTATCGTCGATTGATTGAATGGTTGATTCATCAACGTCACAATCTTTTACACCAAAGGGACGTTCGGAGAAAGGTATGCTCAAAACTGATTTTGTATATTAGTATAGTACTAAGTACATGCTTCATTAAGAAAGTATAATGCAGTACATATTCCAAATATTAAAATGCACGTCAGCGTGTTAGGATTCAATATTTTGACATTAATATGTCATCATCAGGAATGTATGTATTATACTTTCCTATCAAAGATTAATCAGCGGACCTTTCTGTTTTTATGCTTCATTAACATCCCTAGATAAACGCGGTAGAACATCAAGAAAATCATTTGATCAAATCCACATTAACAGCACCGAAGAATAAGTTATTACTCCACTGTGAGAGTATTACCTGTACGTCCGCGACCTGTAGGAGGACGCAGAAACTTGTGAGATGAAAGCAGTAACACACGGTATGTGTTGTATTGACTTCACCTTTCCTGCATCCATATGTAGACCACACCCCTCCAGTTGAGTACCTATTATAATAAAATCATCAAAATGCCGCTTAATTATTGAAACTTATAGTTACTTCGATTATTAATGGAAAGCACACACGTCCTGAAATTAAGGTTCAAAATAGCTAGGTTCACATTCAGAATTTAACGTGATCTAGTGGATCATGATCAAGCCAGTCACTTTATGTGAACCAACCAGAATCAAATAACGTGCTCAGCTTAATCACCTTATTGTGATCTAGTGGAGCATGTTGATTCATCATGATTAACCTTGGTTAACGTGATAAATTAATTCATGAGATTGAATTCAACCAATCAGCCTTCAGTTTATTAAACAGGTCCCAACCTCATTGGTTGTGCTTCTGGTAGTTTTCATGCAACACTGCACGCATTAGCATAAATAGATCGTGATGATGGTTTCTATATGAACGGCTTTCTCTAACATGCTAAAGTTATCATGATGAATAGATCATGATAAGTTTATCACGATAGCTTATGTGAACGTACCTAATGTGTTTCAATTTCTTAAAACTTAGTAGACCAATTCTAACAGCTAAAAAATGTATCATCAAGTTAAACTTTTAAGAATTTACTTAACCGGAGTTTGAATTAAGCTTAATTAACAACTGACCAATCAGAAGAGGACCAGGAATACGCGCGTGTCTAACGAGCACACTTTTCCCCCAAAAGAACGCACGTGTTTTTGAATATAATTTAACATTACTGTCGTCTGGTGTGGAATCTTAGCAACAATATCGGAAAGCTTCATCTAATATCATCAGTTACGTGAAAAACAGGTCTGTATTTCAGCATTTTAATCTTACGTATCGTTATAGCTCCAGTACACGCAGTGACTTGTTTCTTCTGTTGCATTCTACGTAAAAATTAAACAGGATATACATGTTCAAACTTATGATAATTTATTTTATTATTATTAGGCCTATTAATATCCATTAAGGAGTATCATTATCAAATAGGACTACTCACGTCATTCTACACTATGGTTGTTACTGGGTAAATATTATTATCTTTCTTTGTTACGTTAATACTGCACTCTCTAGTGTTCCCTTTCTCTAATGACACATGTATTGCGATGTTTTGGCGATATTTTAGCAAAAGTATTATTAATAATGGTAAAATCCGTATTTATTCGAATAAACGGCCGAGGTGTTCATTATTGTTGAGAATTGTTTTTGAGGGGTAAATTATTCGAGGGAGGCGTTTATTTGTTGGTGTAAAATGGATATGTATAATAGGCCTATACCCAAATAAACGCCACTTAATTTTATTGTAAATTACGTGATCATAAAGAATTCTCAACCAGGTTAGAAAAAATGTAATCCTACTGGAGTAGAACATATATATAGAATGTTTTTGAGAATCATTTGCTTCCATTATAATAGTTTAATGTAATTTAGGGGTGCGTTTAGTCGAGGGGAAAATAAACGCTTATTCGAGGGAGGCGATTATTCCAAATGGGGCTCTAAAGGGGCCGTTTATTCGAATTAAGATTATTGAATTTAATTAAAACAGGAAAAGTATGCTTTACCTGGTTAATATGCTCAAAGACAATTTTTATAGGCTTCACAAAATCAAGTTGCGTTACGTTGTCAAGTTGAATAGTTGCAGACAGCATGCGCCCATTAGCATAATACGTATCGTTTCTAAAATATTATTAATCAAATAATGAGATATGCGCAAAGAACTGTGAAAGGTTTATCTGCACAATAAGAGAAGAAATTAAAAGCATCGATTGCACCCAAACACCTACAGTAATAACTTGCTGCATTCAGAACTGGTAGGCTACACAATAATATTTCTGCCAGATAATTCTAGTGTTTGATTAGATCTTTATTGTCAAATTTTCTATGAGACATGAAAACAATAATTTTGATCGACTTATCAGACACATCAGGTTAAACATTGTTGAGAAAGAAGACAGACGTTATAGAATGGAAATAGGCTAACATAATCACGAGAAAAAATATGATTGACATACTCAAGTATCAACCAAACGAGATACACTTATTCGAAGCTTTTAAGATATTGCTCTGTAAACTAGGTATCAAAATAAAAGCCCTGTCCAGACTATCAAATTTCAATGGACAAAAAGCATGTCAATGATATCATATAGGCACATTATGACTTATATAGGAATAGGCCTATCACGTTTGTCACATAAAATTTGATAATGTGGCCTGAATAAAATCGCTACACTGAACATTAAACACAAAGCTCCACGCAATGTTGTCCCGTCTTTGGTGACACGTTTAAAAGCTAAACGTGTTATATCTTAGTGTGCTTAGGATCTTGACGTGTTTAACATTAAATGTGCTTAGGTATTTGACATCATGATGTCAAATACCTAAGCACATTTAATTCTAAAAACGTCAATAACCTAAACACATTAGGCCTGGCCTAAACATGTTTAGCTTTTAAACGTGTCACCAAAAACGGGACAACATTGCGGGGAGCTTTGTGTTTAAATCCTCTACGCTGTTTTTACAGTGTACAAAGCTCTCACTCTATTAGGATTTTTGTTGTAACTAAATTTTTAACAAGTTTTAGAAGTAGAGAACTGTAGTTAAGAATAATCTTACAAAATCACTTTAGAAGTGTTTTAAGTGCTCTTAATAAAACTTGTATATTGTATAATTTGTATATCCTCATTTAAAGTCAAACAAATCAAATGAAATCGAAATTATTAACTGAAAACACTTACTCTCCTGCTGTGTCGAGAGATCCGTCAAGATTTTCTGCAAGATTGTTGTAAAACACTAAAGATGTTACAACATCATCTACAAAAAAAGCAGAAATAAAAAACAAAAGTGGTACATACCATAATAAGTCAAGCAAGCAAATCGGCATTATAATAACAGGGTAGGATTCAGAAACCAATCTCGGTAGGGCCAAGCGATCGAGCGGGTGTGAGGTGTTTCAGATTTTTGTTTAGAGATGCTTGACCATACAGTAGTACGTACATGGAATTTCAGTCGAAAATTAGTTTGTTTTGACGTAGCGTGCTCCCCTCTTTCTTCTTTATTTTTCTCTTTTTTTCTCTCTTATATTTATTTTTTTCTATGGGGGGGGGGGTGTGGGGGTGGATACGCTCATGGAATAAAAAGGTGATGATATTAGCGAACCGCGAACCGCTTGTAGAAGAGGTATAGCGCAGCTGGATTGAGATGTTGGTTTATCGGGGCCTCGAAGCCGGGGTTCAAACCCTCGCTCTGTGCATGTCGCATGTGTTACAGCAAGGCATATCATCTGCATTGCTTCTCTCCACCAAGTAGTTTAATGGGTACCTAGTTTCTGCCTGGTGTGGTTGCCTGTTTCTGTATTATTTATAGCAGCGCCATAAGAACGTGAACCCAATGAACTGGGAAAAGCATTTCGTATCTGAAATGAAAAACTCTATACAAATAAATAAATAAATTAATTAATTAATAACAATTAAAAAACCAATAACGAATTTAACAATGATTCAACCTGTAAAATTGTCTTCAATAATTGTTTCTGGAATATAGATCGATAACTGGCGCGCTTGATGCGCTGTTCCCTCGTACGTTACTGCTTCTTCTATAGAAATGACCACTTCTGAAATTGATAAGCACATGAATTAATAAAAAGCTAGAAAAACCAACAAATCTTATCTGTTACCTTATGCGATGGGTGCGATAATGTAATAACCTCTAATGCAGTACAATATACTGCTTGTACAATAATAATTTTCTATGATTGAAAAGTGTGTAAAAATAAGAACTAAATAAGAACATTTTGAGCCTGGAATCGGCAACAATTTTACTGGTTCTTTAAAAAAAAAAAGTGTACTATACCAAAGGCATTGTTTGATGCGGTGACAGAAAGGGTTTCGTTATCATCCTTGGCTTCTTGGAGAGTTTTTGCAAGAAGTGAAACCGTGTCTTCCACTTCGAATACCAACGTGCTCATATCTTTAGAAGAGCCCTAAAAAGAACAAAGTAAAAATAAAAAATAATGATTCCTGTTTTATAAGCATACAAAGTTGGCATGTATGAAATGATAATAATAATAAGAAGAATTATAGAAGGATAATAAATAACATTGGTATTGCTTTACTAAGTTTAAGTAATTGCTTTACCAAGTTTATGTATTATACTGTAAATTAATCATTAACTAATGGAATGAAAACACCAACATCAAACAGACCTCGTGCCTCCAAATATAATTAACTAATGATGGCTAAGGTATGATTATGAATGTGATTATAATGTTAATGATGATGATGATGAGGGTATTTGATGATTATGATTACGAATATGAAAAATGAGGTGATTATTGATTATTACCATATCAGTCTCATTCAATATTTGATCAAAATCATCAACAACATCCTGGAATTAAAAAAAAATGTTTAACTAAATTATTTTCAGGGCAAACTTTAAAGAAGATAAATATAATAAAACGTATCATATATAAAATCAATAAAGTAAATAGTATATATATATCAGTTTAAGGGGCGCTACACTATCATTCCAAATTCCACAGGTTCACGTGACACCACATATAAAGCTATGTCCAGACTATCGCATGTTCTTTGATAAAAAATTGTTGTATGCCCATATTTAGTTTAGTTTGTACACTGCGCCAATTTTTAAATATTATTTCGAAGAACAATCTTAATGTTATGGCATATGCTGATGATATTCAACTCAAATATCAAGACTGATATGAAGGAGATCAAAAACTGGATGGTAAACAACAAACTTAAACTGAATGATGAGAAAACGGAAGTCATCCATGTGTCACCTGTCTTTCGTAAAACACATAATAATTAATATCATCAACCCTATTACTTTTGGTGATGAGGTGGTTAACCTTGTGCTTGTAGCCCGAATCTTGGTGTCCCTGTGGCCCCCAAATTAGTAATGGCCAAGCACCTAATTTTTAGTTCTGCCAAAATAAATCCGGAAGTATGTTGACCAGGTGATCATTGAGAGGCTTGTTCATGCATTCTTTGTGTCTAGGGTTGATTACTGCAAAGCCTAGCTTATTGGCCTGGCTGCTTACCAACTAGTAACATTACAGCGTTTTAAAAATTCTGCTGTCAGATTGGTAGTCAAGCTTATAAAGCGGGACATGTGTCTCCTGTTCTGCGTGATCCATTGGTTGCCGATCAAGAAAAGCATCCAGTTTAAGATCCTCTTACTTACTTTTTAAGGCCTTAACTGGGAAATCTCCATATATATTTCCAACCTTATTTTCAGTTATTCACCTAAGAAAATACTCAGGTCAAGTACTGAACATTTTCTTCAACCTAACAAATTTAAATCAAAGTATGGATCGAGATCCTTTGCTGATGTTGCTGCTCCTGATCTTTGGAATGAACTTTCATCTTAATTCGTAAAAAGAAATATATCTCTTGATGCCTTTAAAAAACAACTGAAGTGCCATCTCTTTTCAGAGAACTAAGCTGTGCACAGTATTATTATTATTATTATTATTATTATTATTATTATTATTATTATTATTATTATTATTATTGTTATTATTATTATTATTATTATTATTATTATTATTATTATTATTATTATATAGCGATGATGTAGCTATATATGATCATGATATGATGTCACAATATTTTGGGGTTTTGTCAGATAAAATTTGATAGTCTGGACAGGGCTTAAGATATATTAAGCCGATCAAACACTGCGTTATAACGACTAACGGCCGACGGATCCATCTCAGCTCTCTGGGAGTGCTTTACGTCGGTGGTAGTCTAAGCGGTGGATCGTCATTAAATGGAGTTCTCCATGAAGTCGTGACTTGTCGGCCGATGACCATCGGCGCAGTGTTTGTCCGTAGCAGTGTGTGCAATACGTATACGTTAACAGTGTGTATAAAACAGTAAATCAATTAAATCGTAGGAAAATTGGTTTAAAAATTAAACAAACTTTAACAAATTTCTCTCTCTCGTCATGGTGCCGGAGATCGGAAGGTGGCTTCATGTTTATTTTGTCCTTTATCTCCCCTGTGGATTCCTCTATCTTTTCTTCTCCGCTTAGTGGTGGTTGCGGCGGCGGCAGCATAATTGACACACCGATCGGAGTTCCATCTCTACTGTAACCTGAAATATCAAAGCGTTTATACCGTGGTTGTAGTTGAATTAATTTTTAATTTCCCTTTCAAACCATAATATTTTATACGTATATAATTTTTTTTATTAAAAAAGAATTAATAAATAAAAAAACAAAAAATGATTTAATTCATATAAAAAATTAATAACTACGAAAACATCTTAAAACTAACATTTTCCAAATTGAATCAATCCAGAAGCACTTTACCCGATTTTTCCTGAACTCTGCTAGATACCCCAAAAACCCTCACTACATTGAATTATAAAGACAGGCTTGATCACCTAAAACTAAACACATTAGAACAAAGAAGAATTTTTCTTTGCCTTATTTTCTTATACAAAATTATTAATGGTTATTAAAATTGATTTATTTAGGTATAGAATACACGTCGACTTCATCCCACACCTTACGATCCCCCTGCCTGATGCAATGCACCTGTTCACTCTTTTATCATATTCCAATCATCTGGAACAGATTTCCAATTGCTACACGTTTATCCTCCCCGTCTCTTCTTTTAAAACTACCCTCACCACCTCGTTAGGCCACTTGCATTTGTTATTTATTTATTTGGTTAAATATGGCTTGCTTATTTATTTATGTATTTACATATTTTTTAGAATCTATGACAAATCTACAAACAAAACCCTATTGGCAGACGATATTACTCTCCGCCCAAAAAGGCATTTAAAATTTATATATTTATTGTGTAATAATATACTGCGGCAACGAAAACATCAAAGTAGGTCTCCGTAGGCTAAATTGACAACAAGATTTAATTTAGGAGAGAGGAATGATAATACATCTGCAAGCAGTGATGTATACCATATTTAAAATTGTGCGGGTATACTTTATTAATAGAGGTTATGCACAGTGTCGGAAGATGATGATGGTATAAGAAAGTAAGGCCTATATGAAAAACAAGTAATTAATACCGGCCTGTTTCAAATCACAATAGTTTCTTCATACAAGATTAATTTTATCTAAATTTAATGTTTGCGAATGTTATGTTAATAAGATAAATTCTACACCACATCCAAATAAGTCTAAGGAAAGTAGAATGTTTGCACTTTCAAAATAGGCTATGTTAGGTGTATAAATAGATGACTTCAAAATGTTTTAATGCAGTAGCCTTATGTTCTACATAGAACGAAGAAGAAAGGTGAGATGAGGTTTCTTAGATGCCACTTTAAAAACAATGAAGATATGGCAAAACTAACGTCAGTAGTTTAGCCGTTAAAACTAATATTCTTTTACACACCTGGCAATTTAGTGAGGGGCGCATTCCAACCCTAATCTAAGGATAGGCAAATTGAGCTTCAGACAGTAAAGTATACACTTCCTAAATTAAATAATGTACGCATGTTACCTCCTCTGTTCCGCGGTACATTTTTCAAACTACCATCTTCACCCTTCGGGTGACCGTTGCCTCCGGACATGGAAGTAATCAATCTTATTGAATCGGCCACAGAAATCCGACCAGTTAACTGGATAACTCCACCGGCTCCGCCTCCACCACAGTGTTTAGGCTGATCTTTCTCATCAACAGAACCATTCCCGCCCAACACAGAGAGAAAACCTTTGCCACCGAACACAATCTTTAAAAAATCCAATGCTTTATTCACTAGACAGAACTATTATCTGTGCCATGAACTTATGAAAATGACTCGTTGAAAAGCTGTCTCTTATACACATCTAGAAGTGTATAAGAAACAGATATATATTAAAACATAGCATAAGATGAACCTGAAAAACGAAGAAAGAAAACTCCAGCACTCGAACCAGGGACCTTTCGGATAACCACTTGAAAACGCAGGTACTGTGGTGATTCAAGCGTTCGGTAGAACCTGAGTTCCTTTCATTTCTTTAACGTGTCCGACGTGACAATTTTTTTGATATAGCACTAGTCCAGTCATGGATCTATACGATACGCCCTCATTTGTGCTTTGTTTTCAGCTAGCTGGATCTCGAATGAGATACTTTCATATATATATAGTGTCTGACCACGTGCGATATTAGTGCTATATTATAATCGCGACGTTAGACACGTTAAAGAAATAAAAGGAGCTCAGGTTCCAGTGGAGGCAGAGTATATAGACTTATATTATTATATATTAATAATATATTATTATATTATTCTTAAACATATAATACATATAAATAGGCCTATACTTTTACATTTAATGTAAAAACACTGGCTAATAAAACTGATTTCAGATGTTCTTACTGAGGATGCGTTGAAAAGGAACATTCCGCCACTACCACCACCGACACATTCCACTTTTTCCTCTACGTTTGAACTTGACTGACCGTCCGCCCTTAGCAAAGAATCTTCAAAAAATCATGAGTCAGTCTTTAAATGTTCTTTGTTTGGACTACTGCAATTTTCAACGACTACAAAATACAGCAGTAAGAATTACAACTTCCACCAGCAAAATGCTTAATTTAATTCGCCTTTGCACAATACACGTCGGCGGGTCGGCATTCATAACATAAATTCATAACATAAATTTCAAAGTTCTCATTATTACACAGACCCCCATTATGACTTTCTTTCCAAATACTTCCTTCTCCTTGGCTTTAGATCCTTTCACCTACATCATCTATTTTGTGTACCAATTTTAAATCTATCGCGGCAACAAATCTTTCACTTTTGCTGCCATACTACTCTCAGACACATACGCACATTCAAGTCAAATAATATGAAAACATATCATTTTAAGAAGACATCAAAATTTTAGTCATAAAGTGTATTTGATTTTAAGTATAATTTGCGCTATATAAGTTGTCTATTGTTGTTATGACTAATGCACTTTCTTCCATTATTATAATTCGATCACTTACAGACATAAATTGTAGAGGCTGCATTAAGTTCCATGGCCCCACCTCCGCGCAAACGTACAACGGTCGACTTGTTCCATTTTGCACCTGATAAAACATTATTCCACAGATAAACCACATGGAAATGAGTCTCAAAATGTCTTAGCGTTTACGTATAATCATGAACATCAGAAAAAGAAAACGAATAAAGGAAAAGGTAGAAGAATAATAAAAATAAGAACAAATAATTTAAATTACAAAGAAAAAATGAAATATGGTTTTAAGATGTAACACACAGAATATTTTAATAACTGAATTGTAAGAATTTTAATGGAATATGACATTGATAATTTTGTAAATTACTGCGACTGACACTTAATGTCCATACGGAAACCATGAAATGCTTATACTTTCCAAATTTTAAACGCAACAAAGTTCAGTCTTGACTTAACATGCAAAGTGCGAAACAACAGCAAGTTACTGTCTGTAAAACGGGAAGAATTGTCATTTTTTCCTTCATGAGGGAAATTTATGATGGTTGGTTATTGGTTCAATGGTAGTCAGTATTTACCGCAAAGTCATTACGTATTACTGAGATAAATTCAAATTAGGCTCGGTTTAACTCACCTGCACTTCCACCAATTAAAGACTCTGTAAAGGAATATTCTGCACCGAATGAAAATGACTCGTTGAAAAGTTTGTCGAAGTACGAAAAGTTGCCGCCACCGAAACCTCCAAAGCCTCCACCACCTGGAGTACCTGAAATACGTGGAACACCACCTGCGCCTGGGCCTCCCGCTTTACCTTCATAAGAGTAAATATAGGCTAATATTTATAAATCTTTGCCGTAGTATTACATTTTTAATCAATACTATAATGTATTTTCAAGTATAGTTATAACAACTGTATCGTATTTTTTTAATTGTTGTGTTTAGTTTTTAATTTCTATTAATACTGTTAAGTGCATTTAGGCAAAGTGAAAAATAATATTTAGTTTCTCATCTCTTCTCCCTTTTTTGCTGCTGCTCCGATTTTTCAAGTTTCCTCCCTACTAATACAGTAGCGATAAAACGTTGGCCTGTATTATAGATCAGATTCGGTTTTACTAGCAATTTCTGATATGGAAACTGCAGACGATCATAAAAGTCCAGCTTCTTCCTTTCGTAAAACGTTCTGACGAGAAACTACCGTATTTCCTTGATTGGGTTACAATTTTTTAGTATTAATATATTAATCTAATTATTAATGATTTTTTAAAATTGTATAGTGTAATTCCTTTTATCATTCTTCTATTTTGATTTAAAAAAAAATATATTGTGTTGTTATTCATGTGATATTATAAGGTTTTGTTGGTTCTGGGCGGCTATCTGGAAATGCAATAACGTTTTACTGAAAAGGTAGCCCAGCATAAGGAACAAATAAATAAAAATAAGTGTTCATTTTCTCTTCATATAATGCCTTCATTTGGCCGTTGATCAATAACATGCTACTATATATTATTGCATTGATGGCGTCTTTGATATAAAAAATATAATGGTTCCAATGCTACTTAAATGCAATTTAGGATGTTATGTATAACAACAGTAACCGTCGTTCTCTGACACACTTACCAGGGGGGATTTAAGGGAGGGGGCCGGCTTTTGGGAAGGAAAAAAAAAAAAAAAAAAAAAAAAAAAAAAAGAGAGAAAGAAAAAAATTATAGCCCAGAATGCCTCAAATGTTATGTTCGGGCGTCTAGAAAAAACACAAAAATCTCGTGGGGACCCCCTATGACAGTGTTGTCTCAATCAGCCCAACTTTCGGCCCCCCCCCTCGCCCCCCCCCCCACTTTTGGACATTTCTGGATCCGAAATTATTTTGAATTTTGATTTCGTTTGTAAATTACCTCCGAAACCTCCAGCATAATTATCCTTGTTGATACCGCCATTTTGTCCACTGATGTCAATCGGAACGTTTATTAAAATAAAGCTATTCAGACTCTCCAACCGAAACGAATGATAACCAATTACTGCTACTGTCAAGTTTCCACTTAAAATTAACGGTCCAGATACAGAAAACACTGCTGTGGAGTAATTCCAAGTGCGTCCATTACCGTCAACAAACTTCATTCTCTCAAAAACTCCAGAAAGTCTACCATTATACCGCGCACCATATGTTTTTTCCAATATTGTTGAATTGGAACACATTGTTAATGGTGGGGGTGGGGATGATGATGATAATGGTGGTTGTGGTGATGCTGCTGGTGACGATGTATTGTGTGTTATGTCACTTTCCTCAGTAGTAACTGACGTTATATTGACATAATCAGTAATAGTCAACAAGTAGTAAATGGCAGATTCTTCGTATGTATAGTTGTATGCAGTGGGCATATCTTCACTTATAGTTTTGTCTAAATACCACAATGCCGGACAGTTTGTATCCACTATAAGTGTACCAGTAGTTAGTTGAACATATTTCTCTGAAAAGAAAGATGTAAAATTAATTTTCATTAATTATTAACTGATTAATGGTCATTAGCTTAGCTTTTTTTGTCTTTTGTGGAGTATCTCACTTTTATTTCTTCTCATATTTCATCATTACATAATTTGAATAGGTTTTGTGCAGTAAAATAGCCGTAATGAGTATTTAGAAAGACAAAAATCATATTTATGTGCCTTAATCATTTTTCTTTAAAAAGGGTCAATCCATCGTGATGGCTAACTAATATATCTTTATAATAATTATCATGGGAAATTATAGTATTGTGATTTTTTACATGTATTTTCAATTATGTTGCTTTCACATATATTTTTCCAGTTTTCCAAATATGTTCTACAGTATTAACTTAATATTTCTCTTAATATTATTTCTTATATTATATTATTATATTACTCGTTAAAATTTCTATACTTTTTATAGTAACAATGAATTAAAATTCATATAGATTTCACACACACACACACAAAAACAAGATTCAGTTAAAATTGAAGTATAGTCATATTATTTTTACAGCGATATATAGGCCTACAGTTAGTAGCTGTTCGCAATTTTCCAAGAAACAGGAATCCAATTCATAACATGTAAAGATCCTGTTTAATATTCAACTGTAATCCCTTTACATGACATAACAATTGGAAAGCCGTTGGTGACACAAATTGAGAGCACATTAAACAACAACTTCACCATGCATTAACCAATTACTTTTCCAAATCAATTGCTTTGAACAATTCGGGATCCATTAGTTACTCAAGTAAGACAAGAGGTATTATTCATTATCAGCCCAACACGAGGAGTACGTGACATCTATATACTTAACAAGGTGCTAAAATTATTAAATTATTGAATATTGTTACTATAAAAAATAATATAGGCTATGATATAAGGTGTGGTAAAGTGTGGGTAAAGATGTGATAATATATATACTGTATATACTCTTGCAAAACACACTGCGAAATATATATTTTTAAAGCGATAGTGACTATTTTGTATATATATATATATTTGTATATATATATATAAATATATATATACATACATATATACATATATACATAAACATATATATAAACATATATATACATACATAAACATATATATATATACATAGACATATACATACATATA